TCCTCCAGTCCAGCCTTCTGCATGATGTATTCTGCATATAAGTTAAATAAGCCGGGGGACAATATACAGCCTTGTCGTACTCCTTTCCCAATTTTGAACCAATCAGTTGTTCCATATCCAGTTCTAACTGTTGCTTCCTGTCCCACATATAGGTTTCTCAGGAGATAGATAAGGTGGTCAGGCATTCCCATTTCTTTAAGGACTTGCGATAGTTTGCTGTGGTCCACATGTCAAAGGCTTTTGCATAGTCAGTGAAGCAGAAGTACTGTAGATATTTTTCTGGAACTCTCTGTTATAGATTAGTAATAACTTGTTTCACACTTAACTCTCTTAGTTCTTTTTAAGTTTCACACTCTTAAGTCCTAACTCTGCCACACTCTCTAACTACCATAGACTAACTTCTCCTTCAGACAATCATCTCTCACTCTAACTGACTAAAGCGCATCGAACCATGGAATCAGTAGTTGCTGCCCATCTCTAATTATAAGCATATCTTGCTTTGGTGTGTGACAGTTTCCTCCCGGAAGCTTGCACAAAAGCTTTCCCTCTCATTTTCTTCAGCATCCATGGTTAGAACGTAGACTTCAATGATGGTTATGTTGAGAGGCTTTCCATGGAGCCTGATTAATTTTACTCAGACTTTGCATTATAGCCCCAAACTGCCTATGCTGCATCTTGCCTCAGTATAAGAGCCACTGCATTTCTTCTGAGTTTGTCTTTTCCAGAGTTGAAAACTTTGTAGTTGTCTGACTGGAAATATCCCACAACTGCCTATGCTGCATCTTGCCTCTGTATTAGAGCCACTGCATTTCTTATGAGTTTGTCTTTTCCAGAGTCGAAACCTTTGTAGTTGTCTGACTGGAAATATCCCACTCCGGTCCACTTCATTGAAACCAAGCACTGCAATGTTTATAAATTAGTCCACTTTTCTTCACTGAAACCAAGCACTGCAATGTTTATAAATTCCATTTCTTGCTTTCCACTTTAGTTTTATTCATACCTCTCACACTGCATGTCTCAATTGTATGTATTTTTAAAATATGTTATTAATTGTGCAGCATCGGACTTTCACTTCTGCGCCTGTCTGCCACTAGACACCCTTTCAAGATTAATCTAGTTGCATCATTAGAAACAGAACTATTCATACTTGTCCTTTACTCTTCCCCAGTAGATGATTGCTATCCAACCTGAGAGTCTCATCTTCCAGCACTCTCACTCTCGTTTCATTTTGGACTGTCTCATCATAGATTTCATGGCAAGGAAGGTTCAGTAATGATTTACCATTGCCACCTTCTTTTCATGGCAAGGAAGGTTCAGTAGTGATTTACCATTGCCACCTTCTGTTCAGTGTACTAACAAGTTAGCTTGAGTGTAGCCACTGTTGCTTCCTCCACCAGAGTCACCTTCACCTATCACTGCCACTCCGTAGGTGCCAGTTCCATCACCATTGGAACTATCTATCCTCCTTCCTGATGCAGCTGTAGATGCATCTTAGTCCTCTGTTGATGAGGGTGGATGGATCTTAGTCTGGTGCCTCAGTGGTTAACATTCTGCCTTAGGTGACCCTGTTACTAGTCCAAACTCATAATGGAGGCTGGCCTCCTGACAGCATTCCACACAGCTTCACTGACACACTTGAACCCCTTTACCATGTTAAGGAGCGTATTCAGGAAGGGCTTGATTCTGCTACCAGTCTCTATTCCTGGACCAGCATGTGCTAAGAAGAAGCTCACCGTTCCCTAATTCTTAGGCTGTGTCCCCCTGCCTGGTCACCTGTTGTGACCCTCAGGATGCAAATGAATGGCTATTGTCTCATACCTGTTGTGACCCTCAGGATGCAAATGAAAGGCAAAGTAGGCCCACATCCACACCTTGCAGTCTGATCACTGGTGTTTGTGCATGGACTGGGAGAGCAATGCTATCTTTTTGTCTCTGCCAACAAAAATGCATTGGAATAACTCTAATTGGGCAGTGAGATACTTGTGACCAATCTAACTCGGCCTTGGGTGGATTCCCAACAAGGAAAGGCATTCTGTGGAAGCCTCAGCATCTTCAGGGGAACTGGAATTTTGTTTATTTCAAAAAATAAAAAACCTGCTACAGCTATCGATGTCATCAATCTTACGCACTATAACCTCCAGAATTGGATTTCAGCCAATTTGTCCAGACATACCGGATGATTTTGGATACTTCGGGACTGGTAAGCTACTCATTCAGCAGATTTTTCTATTTCAAATGCCAGATGGTTTTTGCAGAGTAATCTCCTGCTTATGTGTACATCTTACGGCTTCTTTAGAGTATTCCAGAACTTATCTGTCCCTATGGCATCATTTACTCCTTGCCACATAACTAGCATCTTCCCCAGCCCACTGCAATCACTGGTCTGTCCCTGCCCATGTTGGTCTCCAAGCAGCCCAGCTAGCAGAACAAAGTGGCAGAGAGAAAGACATGGCCACTGCCATGAGGCAGCTTGTGGTGGAAGTGAGAGAGCCCTTTACTCAGGAAGAAAAGGCCCTGCTTTCTGAGGCCTATAAGCTCCTGATACAGGAGTGCTGCTCTTCTTGGTGACGACTAAAGCATTCACAGAAACGGGGGGTCAGGGAGGGAGCAGAAAGAGGACGCTGAAGCCTTTCCTAGCACAAGGCCTTTAAAAAGGCACACGGCTGGGAGATTCTTAGCCTGCTAGATCACATATTATTGAAGCACAGTGGTGAGACAGATAATGAAAGCCAGGCAATTTACTAGATGAAGATGAAAGGAGACAACTATAGTTATTTGGCTGAGGTGGACCTGCCTGATACCAAGGAGGTCCTTGTGAAGTCTGCTGAGAAAGCATATGGCAGAGGCATAGGAAATCAGTCAGTGCTATATATGGCACCTACTCACCCCGTGGCCTTGGCAGTGGCTTTGAATTATGCAATCTTTTATTATGAGATTCTCAGCAAGCAACAGAATTAGCTAAGGCTGCCTTTGATAAGGCTATTGCTGGTCCAGAGGCCCTCAGCCTAGAGTTTTACAAGCAATCCACAATAATCATGCAGCAGTTTAGAGGCAACATTGTGTGGTGGAATGGTGACCAACAACAGGGACAGAAGAATAAAAATTGCATTCCTGAGGTTGGCACTAACAGGAAAAATGGACCATGGCATCTAATGATGGGTAGCAGTGATACAGATTCCATTAACATTCGCACTGCATCCAGCTAAGGCACCAAATTCATTCCTTAAGTGACTGATTGAGGGGTAGGTGTCTTTAACCCACAACTAGAAATAAAATATCATTTCTGATGTACTTGGATCTACAGTACTACTGTAAAGGTTTGCATTTTATAGAATATTCTGCAATGTTAGGGACAATAAATTCATGCCTTACCCCTGTCATTTATGGTCTGAAATCCTAATGTGCAGCACCATGTGTACAATGGGGATGACATGATCATTAGCACACTGCTGCCAATTAAAGGCAATTTTCATGTGGATGTGACGTGTACACAATGTGATGAAGATACATGCAGCCCAAAATCCCAGAAGGAAGTCTTTAACCAGCAGTGATTTTCCGCTACTGGTGGCATTATCCCCACTGCATCTATAGAGCTGCACAGTAGAATTTTAGCCAACCCTTCCTACTTGAGAATGAATGAAAGATGTGCCTCAAATAAATATCTGACAGTAACACCAAAAAATGGCAGACAGTCCTACTATGGGGCAACAGTTGCCTTTGTGTCAACTTGCTATGGGAAATTTACTATGGCTAGTGTTAAAACACTGGCAAATAGTACACATAGTACAGCTTATATACTTAATGCTACAGAGTCATAGTAACATGAGTCACTGCAAAATGCTTTTGCAAACCTGAATATGATTGCCTTTGTATGACCGCTTGGAAAAAGAATCCCTGTGTTACAAAGTGAGTGCTCTTAACATACTGCTCGAATAGATAAGTCATACTTAAAGGCAGCAGTTGTGTTCCAAATCTGCATTTTCCACACTAAAAATTAAACACTGGAATGTAAACAATGGTAGAGTTAGCATATTTTCTAATGCTCATTATCTTTCTGATCTTTCTGGGGACAGATGAAAGGGCAGCATGAGAAATGGGAGACAGATTGTATCCAAGGCCTCCACCCCTGTTGAGTGAGGGATTTTCTATATGCACATGTATGGCCTCCCTGACCTCTCTCTCAAACCACCTATCTTTGCTGTCCAAAATGAGTACATCTTGGTCATAAAATGAGTGCCCTTTGTCCTTCTAATGAAGGGGCACTGTTGATTGCAGTCCCGAGCCATTGCCTTTCCTGTGCTGGGCCATTCTCCTGTTTAGTGGTTGTTTGGTTTCTCCAATGTAGAGCTCCCAACACTCCTCTTTGCATTGGACTGCATATACTACATTGCTCCTGTTGTGTTTTGGCGTCCAGTCTTTTGGGTGAAAGAGTCTGCATTAATGTGTTTGTGGGTTTGAAGTGCATGAGTATGTGGTGTTTACCAAAAGTCCCTCTGAGCTTTTCAGACACACCTGCCATGTAAGGAATGACCAGGTTCTTCAATTGGCTCTGCTGGGTCTCTCAGACTGTTCAGTTATTCTGTTGGATTGGGACATTGCCTTGTTAAAGGCCCATTTTGGACATCCACAGGCCTTAAGGGATGTCCTCAGATGCCCATCTTCCTTCTTCTTGGCCTCTGTGGAGGTAATGTTTCTTGCTTTGTGGTTTAATGTCCTGATAACCCCTAGTTTGTGTTGTAATGAGTGATGAGAGTCAAACCACAGGTATTGATCAGTGTGTGTAGGTTTTCTGTAGATTACTATTCCTAAACTGCTGTTGGATCCTATGATGACCGCAGAGTCCAGGAAAGATGTCCATCTTCCTTCTTCTTGGCCTCTGTGGAGGTAATGTTTCTTGCTTTGTGGTTTAATGTCCTGATAACCCCTAGTTTGTGTTGTAATGAGTGATGAGAGTCAAACCACAGGTATTGATCAGTGTGTGTAGGTTTTCTGTAGATTACTATTCCTAAACTGCTGTTGGATCCTATGATGACCGCAGAGTCCAGGAAAGACAGGCAGCTGGTTGTTTTTGGTATCTTCCCTGGGACAGACAGCTGGTTGTTTTTGGTATCTTCCCTGGTGAACTTGATATTTGGATCCACTGCGTTTATGTGGTCTGTGAAGGCCTGTACTTCCGGAATCTTGATCTTTACCCAGGTGTCATCCACATACCTGAACCAATAGGTCAGTCATCCCTGGAAGGTGTTTAGTGCCTTTTCCACTTGTTCCATGTATACATTGACAACAATGGGTGACACAGGGAAACCCATGACACAGCCATGTGGAATTATCCCTCACTGCCAGTCCTTTGTCCTTCTAACGAGCCTATTCAGACAAGGGGGAAGTGAAACCAATGGGGAGGATATATCAGGGATCTCCTACCCACTCTCCTCAGACTGAAGAAGCTACTTGGATGAGTAGTGAAATGTTTCAACCTAATAAGAATGAAGTCCAGTTGCAATGACTCAACTTCCAGCTATACAATTCCAGTGGTTTGAGTGCATATAGGTGTGTGTAAAAAAATTCAAATAACTCAGAAGAAAATGACACCCTTCTACAATTTTTTATTTCTGAGCAATGATGGGAATATAGCTGGGAATGCTCCTGCATTCAGCTACTGCAGCCAAGGCTGCACATTTCTAATTATGCGCACGTACAACAGATCATTTATGGCCAGTGCTCTGCACTGACAAATTGCAGGTCTACTCTGCAGCATACATGCAAAATTATATGCAAAGGAAAACGGTATTTTGCATTCAGAACTAATCACAGAAATCTGGCATGATTTTTCTGTTGCCAAACCTGAATTTCTACAGAGATGTATTTTTCTTTTTTGGTACAGACAGAGGTGGCATTCAGCAAAGAGAACCTGGAGGTATTTGTAAGGAGTCGGTACACAACTGAACAGTGGAAGGGGCAGATATTCAAAAGGAAAGAGAAGAGGTCACTGCAGGGCATTGAAAACAACATCCTTTCATCTTCCCCCGTCTCAACAGAACAGATGCATGCACCTATCAAGCATTTACCTGCCATTACCACAGGTTTTAGAAAAAGGGAAAAATTCTGATAGCAAATCTGAGGTCAAATTTCAAAATGCACTGTCATATTCCCATGCCTTATAAAATACTTTTCGATTTTCAGCCTCTAAAGATGTACTGACCGTATCGTGAGACAGCACACGCAGCTTTGTCAGCCCTAGACAAAGTTATCCTTCAACTACTGTCAAACATCACTAGGCTAGTAAGCATAATACTGTAAATGATCTGCTGGAGCTTACCGTTTGCAGGTACAACTGACAGTCATGTTCCCCAGAGGTAGGTTATATATATCAGGCACATAAGCTGCAAAATATTTACAGCAAACATAAAAATTCCCCCTTAAATTCCTTTTCCCTAATGAAAAATGGACGTGGTACATCTTCAGAAAGGAGAATGGTCAAAGCAAATACTTGAAGGATACACTGCTTTTATCTCCACCAGAGATGTATGTTTGTTGTTATTTATACCTCACCCATCTAGTAAACTGACTACTTTGGGCAGCTAATATTCTCATAGTGTTTCCAAGGTAATGATTCCTGGTATTGTTTAAGATTTCACATACAAAATACTGTACCATCATTTTAGGGATGAGATGATCTCTCATGACTTTTGATGATCACAGACAGAGGTGGTACAGATTCTCTATATTTTTCATGGCAGTATATCTGATTATTTTATCTCAGGACAGTAAACACACAGTATTTCTTCATCTCACTCCAAAAGGCAACCCTCTGCTCTTTTGGAGAATGATGCTACAATATTTACAAGAATGGTTATCTCAACCCCATCTAGTTGAAGATGACTTCAGAGGATATTAATTTTTCTTAGCTTTGCAGTCCAGAAACATCCTTTATAGTATTAATCCAGTTGGAAGAAGCAAAAGGCTCTTATATGGTATTGTGCTTCTTTAAGTTTTTTGGACATTGATTAACTAATATCCTTTCCTTATTTTTCCAGTCTACTGATTGTGAGATGCACCAAGATATAGAGACCAGGCGTAATATAAACAGGAAAATTTGTATAGTGGCACGGCCAACATAAATATGACTTTCTAACTATTTTGAAGTACTTAGTGGTCAGACTGATTTGTGGTATCCAAAACACAACAGTCTAGGAGTTGAAAGTCACAGTAGAGAGCTTATGCAAGTATTCCTTTTCAGAAGAATGCTATTCAGTCCATATAAGCCAACTATTAAACAACTGTATAAGAGGTTCTGCTAGGACAGTTCAAGGAATGTGCCTTCTCTACTCACTGGTGTGTGCTACATGTACTAGCAAAGGAGTGCTCTAGCTTTTTTCCAGTATGGTCCCAAGAGAAAGAGATGCTGAGGCAAAATAGGATTGTATCTTGATGGCACACCATTTGGAAATCAGCACTTTAATTTTCCCATGGTGTAGTGTCAGAAGAAAACAGCAACCCCAAAGCTTTGTACTTTGCTTCTTACATACCACTAGAAAAAAGGTTTGGCCCTTAATCATATTGCTGCAGTACCAGACTGTAGCATTCCTGAGTTTTTACAAATGCAGTTTGCCAGAGAGTACCTTTTAGCTAACAGGAACTATATGACATTGGAAAAGAAAGAAAATGAATTTTCCAAATATGGATTATATTGTGCTTCCTGTTCATAGATTCCCCCCCCCCCAAATCATGGACTTCGTAAAGATAGCTTTGGCTGCTCATGCAAAAATGCTTGATTGTTAGATACATGTGAAATTAGGGTAGATGTCATTTCACCATCGGAGTGGGACACCATGCTGTGTTTGGATAGAGTAGGCAGTGGAGAGATTTGAATCTGCAAAGAAAAAGAGAACAAACTGTTACTGGACTTTCAGTAATTATTCAAATCCATTAAGACAGGAACATGGGTTACATCCTGTTAGGGTAACTCACAAAAAAAGCCCATTTTATTCTCTTGTGGTTAGATAGTCTGTCAGGATATCAAACTTTCTTTGAAAAGCAATAATGCACGCACCGAGTTGGATCTTGTTGTACACTGAACACTTCAGCCAAGCTCACAACATTGTGTTTATTCTCGGGACCACCATAACTCAAAGTAACCTGGAAAAAACACATATGTGTGATTCAGAAACTTCATTTAGCTATTAACTATAAATCTGGAGAATATATTTCCACAGCTAGCAAAATAAAGAATATTCAGAAAGCAGCATTTGTGTTAAAAGTTCCAATTCCTAACTCTCATCCTTCTTGATAAATTTCATATGAGTTCTCACATCAGACACTGTAGGAACCAAGTCAGTAAACCTGGGCCTCCATAATTTCTTCTACAACCTGTGATGAATTTATGGTTTCCGAGGAATATGCTATACCTAGGAAACCCTAGGAAGTGTTGCTGTAAGTCAGAATTGACTCCATAGAGTGTTTTTATTGTTGCTGTTGTTACCATCCCTATGAGAACTCTAGTATTTAAAGAGCCACCACTTAAAACTTTCGGTTAATCCCAACAATTGAAGTTGGTTTTGAAATTAAACTGAATTCATCCATGTTTAGTTTAATTTAATTTTACAGGTGTGTGTGTGTGAACTTTCAAGTTATCTACTCCACACAGATTGCCAAAGTGCTTTTAAAATGTAATTTCTATATCTGTTGCAAGTGAAGTTTTGAAAATACTATTTACACCTATGTATCAGCTCAAATGTACAGTGGTGCCCCACATAGCGATGTTAATCCATTCCAGGATTAATATCACTATCCGGAAACATCGCTAAACGGAAAGAAAAACCCCACAGGAACGCATTAAACCCCGTTTAATGTGTTCCTATGGGGCAAAAACTCACCATTCAGCGAGGATCCTCCATAGGGGCGGCCATTTTCACCGCCTCGGTAAGCGAGGAATCCGTCCAGAAAACAGCGGGCGCCCATTTTGGAACCGCCGATCAGCTGGCATTTCCCCCCAGCTGGCCGGCGGGTGCTTCGGAAGGAGCGCGGGGAGCCCTCCCCG